ACGGGATTTTCCCATGGCGGCAGCACGTTCCATCTCTGACGCGCGTTTAGTCCGCGGTCTCTGCGTAGGCTTCCGTTGAGGTTACAACTCGGTGCTCGTCGTAGTTCATCATGCTCGCTGCCGGTCGGGATTGATCGGCGTGCGTCGAGAAGCCGTAGAGATTCCGCAGAAATCCAGAGTGTCACAGCACGACGTGTCAGACCACAACAAACTAAGCCAGCAGAATGCAGAGCATTCTTGATAAGCGACCATTACTAGTTGACGTCATCGAGTGGGGTTGATTCTAGCTTTTCAGCTAGCGGGTTCTGAAAGACAGTTAGCCGTGCTGGTTCAGACAACTTATCACACTTTAATCGTCATTGTGTCATTCGTTTGGAACACCAACCGAAGCACATGGACAACTTTGCGCAGACCAACGCGTGGTCGGGTTCGAGGAGAGTGCTCCGGTACGGTCGGCAGTCTTGTGTACAACCCCACCATTTGTGATCGATTTTTGTCCGTATCTGACTCGAGTAGGGTGGACGCTAAGTGGCGTACCGACGGTTGAAGCGTCTAAAGTTCGTACTGGCGAGGAATAGGCGGTGGGCGGAACATAAAGCCACCAGCCCTTTCCCCGTTTTCCCGGCAACAAAAATCTAGTCTAAAATTACCTCCTAGATACGCCCCACCCAAAGTCAGCTAACCTTCCCTATCATTCATATCCTCTGATAAAAATCACAATATCATCCCGACTCACTTTACGTAAGAGCTCCTGTAGATTATGGTAAAATTCATCTTTGACTGCATCTGGACTGCAGTCCGTTGGGGCTTACGCCGACACGACAAACAGGTTTCGTCTATCGGGGCGACGGCTGTTTACTTTGCACGAACCTCTATGTCTCACTGCGCACAACCTACTGTCGACTGGGATCTAGTTCAGAAGNAGCTTTTCAGCTAGCGCGTTCTGAAAGACAGTTAGGCGTGCTGGTTCAGACAACTGATTATAGTCTAACCGTCGATGTGTTAAGCGTTTGGAAAGCCCACCGAAGCACATGGACAGCTTGGTGCAAACTAACGCGTGGTCGGATACGAGGGGTTTGCTCTAGTACGATCGGCAGTCTTGTATACAAACCCGCCATTTGTAGCTTATAGCGATGTGGTCGATCTGCGTCCGTAACTGATTCGAGGTGGGGGAAGCTAAGTGGCGTACCGGCAGTTGGAGCGTCCAAAGTTCGTACTGGCGAGGAATAGGCGGTGGTCGGAACAAAGAGCCAACAACTGTTCTCCGTTTTCCGAGTGACAGGAATCTAGTCCGAAAGGACCACCCAGATGCGCCTCACCCAAAGTCAGTCGGCCTACTCTAGCATTCATGTCTCCTGCTAAAATCACGATATCAGCCTAACTCGCTTTACGTAAGAGGTCGTGTAGGCTATGATAAAATTCATCTTTG